AATGTAGGAGATCACTAATTGCAGTAGGAGGAGATATGGTGTGAAGTGTGTACAGAAAGAAAATTACCACACTTTATCAAAAATAACTACTGTATTGCAACATCACAAATCAATGACTCCTAATGGTTTCACAGTACAAGAGGATGGATTAGGCTGTTAATATCTGAGCTGCTACAGAACACCCACCAGCATTATTGTGCCCTTTGGCAAGGCACTTAAAATCCTAAAAGCCCCTAGTGTTCCTGCTGAGATATGTTAAAATATACATGTCATGTTTGCATTTAATGATAACAAAAATTGATTGTGAACAGCTTGCTCTAAAATGTCTTTCTAATATACAGCAACGTGAGTATTATTCATTTCCTCATGTCAAAATAATTCAGTGTACTGTAAATCCACTAGACCAAAAAAAAGCTGGTATGCAACTTTTCAATGCTAAATAAAACATGTCACCTCACACTTGCCTTAACTTGTGTGTGAAGCTTTAATTCCAAAAACTAGATATCCACAACTCAACATCAGTGAGACCCACAATCACAAAATGATGAATAGCACCAAAATGAAATCACTTTTTGGAGGACAGATGATATAATAACACCACCAAGTGGATCTTCTATACTTTAAAAGCAAAATAAAACTGCAGGCATGGATGTCTATCAACACACACATTTCACAGGCTGATTGTTGGGCTTTCCTGTGCATGAGGCCCCAGTGTTTGTTTGGCCAGCATGTCCCAGCTCGTGCAACCTGTTGTCTATTCACTTAGCTTTGTATAGGTCACCAAAGCCACTGTACATACACACTTCCAGGAAAAGGGGGCCTGCCGTAACATCGAGAGATGATCATAGCAACACTGACCTGGGCCACCACTTGACAACACACCAGAGAAATGCTGACGTCACGCTGCAGTACTTTTTCCAGGGTCTGCTTGCCCGGGCTCGCCTCAGTGGTAATCAGGAATGTGATCAGGTCAACCTTTGCACTGACCTGATCACTCACGCTGACCACATAATGGGAGGGAAATCAGGGAAAAGGTACATCCTGTGAGCAACACTGGCATTTAGGGGTTTTTTGGTTATGGTATTTTCCTCCTAAATGGATTCTGTCATGATTGAGTATCTATTGGAGACCTGAATCTGGCTCATACTCGTGTTTATGACCTAACTGCCAAAAATTACAAGAGCTGATATTAGTTATTCCTGTTTTAAAGAAAGATATACACTAGCGTATTATGCATTTGACTCACACATTAATGTGTAAGTATAATAACCATCCATTCTTCTTTAATGTTTAGTGACATAAACACTACACAGATTGCAGCTGGCCAGCAGCACATGACACTACAGCATCTCCACTAAATCACAGAGAGACAGGGTGTCCTAAAACACAGAGACTGCACAACCACATTACTGTACACTTAAGTCGCCAGTACCTCTTCTCAAACTTTCCCTGAGACAAACAACTTGGCCTCGACTTGTAGTGTAATTGTGCTGTCTCTGCTGCTGGTGCCAACAGTATAATTCAGCATAATGGTGAGACAGTAACACAACAGAGTCCTTCCCTAAGGAAACTAACAGCGTCATATTTTTTACAAAATGAGCCCTTGGTTCATTAGCTTTGGTCTAACCAGTGTTATTGAGCTATTTGAATCTGCATAAAGACGTCTAGTTGTTCTTCCTGTAATTACAATAGGCTGAGTCAACTGCCCACAACCAAATGGTCTTCCTCAAGGGCAATTTGGTCTCGCTAGTAAAAGTAAAAGTAAACACTCACTTTGTTGTGGCCACATCAATGTCAGGTAAAGCCGCAAAGTGACAGACGGGTAGCACGCGTGCAGGCATGTGTGCACGGCGAACACACACACATTTAGGCTCACAAACACATAAATACACTCGCAGTCATAAACAGCAGCCCAGCCTTTACCAGACTTAACACCAGCTAATTGCTCATGTATGGCTCCTTTCACTCCACACACGCTCACACACACAGAGCGCAACAAAGCGTGCTGGCTTGCTGGCCTGGGCCGTCTACAGCTGTGACGTCTCACATGTGGCTCTGTGTTGATATAAGGAGTAACACAAGTGGAAAATTGGAGCTGGTGGGGCCAGACGGCTGCCTTCCTGATAGGAAGAGAGTGGAGGGTGACCCATATATACATAAAGTAGTCAACAGGCTCCAACAGCAAGGGAAATACAAAAGGGACAGACAAAAGGTCTATGTCGCTCCATGCATAATGTAATGTGGATACAGATCACGGTTACACAATCGGATCATTTGATATTAGTGTGTGTCTCCATACAAAAAAAATAACTAAAATGACCTATTTCCTACTGACGTCTCAGCAGAAGCTACAAAGCTTCATTTAGTGTTGCAAAAATACAACGAGGGCAGTTGATGAATCATATAATAAAAGGTTGGAAAACAGGAACTACTGAAATCTTTGACTTTCATTTAAAACCTGAGCAGACACTACAGTCTGAACCCCTTTAAGCTGTTTGTATTGTATTTTTTTTAATTCACAAATAGACAAAAGGAGGCGTCCTCGGCTGCATGGCACATGGCTAAAATAAGGCTGCCTACTTTTAAAACTAAAAGGAAGTGCAACCTAACCCTGCTAATCGGATCCTCTGGATAATGGAAGTCATTAAGAGAGAATACAATGTTCAGACATCTGAAATAGGCCACAATGATATGTTAGTCTGAGTGGTGCTCTAAAAATGAAATGTCACGGTTGCATATTCAGAATTATTCTAATTAATTGCGAAGATTATGGTCCTTCCTGGCATTAAACACAAATATTTAAACTGTTTCCTACAGTTAAGAACTTTTATTTGAATGTTTATGACCAATGAAAATGTTCTATGGCCAAGATGAAAAGGGATTTTTTCACGGGTCATGACGTACAGTACTACTCTCAAGTGCCAACTTTGGTCATTTAAATGTATGTCAGCACTGTGTTTCCCTCCAGTATAACACATTTACACACCCATGTGGCTACAGAACCTCTGGCAAAAGAATTGGAATAAAAAAAAAAATAGCTTGAGTTAAGTTTTCTCATAATTGTTTTGTGATATAAAAAGTTATCTGAAGCAGTGCAGAGATCCAAAAGTCCTATCTCTAATTATGATGTTGTGTTGTGGTGTGGCATTCCCCTCTTAAACATCCATTATGGGTACTGGATCTTTGACTGACCAAGATTACCATACAAGACTTCTGACTAAGTGGAGTTTAAAAGCACCTAAATGCACAATGGAGGGGAAATCATGAGTTATGGATGGAAAATCACAATCATTTAAATGACAACTAAAACAGCTCAAAAACTGAGTGTAATTAAAAAAAAAAAAAAACTTGCACCAAAGAATTCTGAGTTGAAATCAATTTAAATTCCTGAAGCAGCTTAGTAGAGCGGTTAACTACAATGGTAAAACAATTCAATCCTTGCTCGTGTCAAAGGTCAAACAGCTTTATTTGAGGAAAGTGCCTCAAAGGAAGCAAAGAATATAGTCAGCTCTGTAAGCAAATGGGCGAACTAGGTTTCCTGATTTAATTTTAGAACCTCACACGGTACGGTACTATCTCAGTTAACCTCTGCAGCAACCCCAAGCTTAACAATTGCAATGGCAGTTCAGTTCCCAATCCAATCACGCGTTCACTCTCTAGCTTTCTCTTTCTAGCTCTCACTGTAGGCACTCAGTGGTGTAGTGACAAATGGAAACGTGATCTCCAGCTTATAATGAAACACCACCCATGTGAACAAAAATGACCAAGTCTTGTCTTTCGCTCAGTCACTTCCTTAAAATAAATATCAGTCTAATCTAAAACTGGATTTACACCACCCAACAGCAAATATCATCAGAAGTGCAATGTGACCAAGTGCAATATGCAAGTTGAAGAAGCTGCAAATGTTTGATAAAAAAAAGGTAAAATACGTGACAAAACAGCTTTATAATGAAGTACTGTATTTCTGTAGATGTCCTGGGCTACGAATATTGTTCTCCAGATTTAAGAAAACATGTTAATTTGACACAGAACCCTAAAAAAAAAAACTCATTATCATAAGTTTAACAGCTTTTTTTAAAAAAATCTGTAAAAATGAAATGTGTGATGCCAAAATGATCCCACACTAATCTTGAATCATACCACAACTGCAATACTTGTCAAGACAATCACAACATGCTGTTTTTGCAAGGACCGTGCAACCAGTGCTTCACAATTACACCTCCCTCCTTTAAACTGTTTCTAGCACTACTCATTTAAATTAAACATCATTACAGTGTCTCTCCTGCAACATACATTAAAAACAAACCCTCGTGTTATTCCTCCTAACCCCTCTCCTCTGCCTTTGTTCTTTGGATTTTAAGAAGTGGCTGCACTCTCCTTGCAGCCACTCAATAGTTTGTGACATATGGTTTTGGTTTAAGGTAATTAACATGTAACTTTTGTTCAACTAAATTTACTACTGGCACATATCGACTAAATCTCAAATGCAAAAAAAAAAAACCTATGGGAGTCAGGGTCAGTGCACTTTGGCCCTGACCCTGACTCCTTACCACTGATCCGGTAAATTGGGCTAACTCTCCAGTGAGTGGGCCCCCTCACCTCACTGTAAATCGCTCTGCATTATAGTTTGCAGCTTCGCTTTTTGTTCAATATCGTGAAAATAAGTTGAACAAAAAGCCCCTCGGGTGGTCGCATCGACCCACTGTGGCTGCAACACAACACAACGTGGTGGCGAGTTTTGTTTTTTTGTTGTTGTTGTTGTTGTTGTTGTACGTGTAGGTGTGTTGAAACTATAACAATAAGTCTCGGATGGATCCACCCCAGCGCCATAATTTTGTCACACTTTTTTTTTTTTCCTCTTCTTCCCCCCTCTTTGGAGAGTTTGTTAGCGGGCTAACGCAGCTAGCCGCCGAGGCTAAAGGCGCTGTTGTTTTCATGTGAAGAAAACAAAAACAAAAAACACAGTAAAAAGTTGATTTAACAAAGGTTGGACGACTTACCCGAGTCTCCGGAGGTTTTCATCTTTGTTGTCGTATTCGGTGTGCTCCTTCAGTCACTCCCCCCCCCCACACACACAACAACCCTTCGTCGACTGGTTAACTTTCAGACTTTCGACTTTTTTTTTTTTAAAGAGTTAGCTGTAGCCTTTAGCCCAAGCTAGCTGAAGTTAGCAGTGACACCCCACTCCTTCCTCCGGTGTTGTTCTCGGTAGACAAGAAGAAGAAGAAGAAGAAGAAGAAAACCCGATTAGGAGCTTTTTATAAAAAAAAACAAAAAACTCCGGTAACTTCACGCGTGTTTCTGTGTTTTTATCTCGACACATCGGCGTTTGCTTTTAGTAATAAAAAATAAAAAAACAACTTTTGTGCCCCGGGAATATTGTTCTTTAAAGCTTCTGGTGCGTAAAAGTTGCCCCGAGCCTCGTTGGAGAAGAGAGAGGACGGACGGAAGGGGGGAAGGAAATCCAGTCGCCCGGGTCTGAATGGCGCAGGTCGAAGTTTTTTTTTTTTTTTTTTTTTTTGTTGGAGGAGTCGTGCAGCCTGTTGGTCGGTAAGTGCTGGAGCAACGGAATGCGACGGGTCTAAATGTTCATCCCGCTTGTTGCAACGATGTCGCATGGTCGATTCCTCCTCCACATCATCATCCTCAACATCACCACCACCACCATCATCATCATCATCATCATCATCCTCCTCACCGACAGTCAAAACAGAGGAACACACACACACACACCAAATTTAAAAAAAGAGGCAACTCTGTTCTTTCTCTGCCCCTCTCTCTTTCTCCGGCTCAGACTTTTTCTTTTTCCACTCACTCACTCACTTCGTTCTCTCTCTCTCTCTCTCTCTCTCTCTCTGAACTCTCCCTCCCTCCTTTTCCTCTGGCGGGGTGTCGTGTTTCGCTCTCCTCCTGCCACACGGGGCCGCCCACGCTGACCTACGGAGGGAGGGAGGGAGGGAGGGAGAGAGAGAGAGAGAGGAACTGAACGCCCACTTGTTGCCAAAGATCGTCTATGGTTTTTTATTTTTTTGGTGAGATCTCCTTTCAGTCTTTTTTTTTTTTTTTTAAGAGGTGTGGGTGCTGAAACAAAACTCTGGGAAGTGTACAAACGTGACACGATTCTTGTGAGCCCACTATCATAAACTTATATAACCAATAACACACAAACATGAGATTAAACATGTTTATTGTGTGTATAAAAAAGCTGTATATAGTGTACATATATAACTCTTATTCTATGTTTATTATATCTATATTAATGTGTATTTTCTTATCTATTGTGTTGTTGGAGCTGCTGTAGTGAGCACAGTTCCCCGCAGGGTGCGATCAATAAAGTCTATTTTATCTTATCTTGAAAATAAAGATGAGATTAAATGTTCAAAATTCAAAATAAACAACAACATGACAACAAAACACTAAATGCATGGAAGCTACAGCGCTTACAATATCACATGTGATACAAAATGTATTTTGTCAATATCAGTATTGATCATAAGATTGTTATTGGGTATTTAGAAGTGTACATCCAAAAAAAGCCCTCTGTCAGGCTTTTATTCCTTCGAAGAAACAAACCATATATATATATATATATATATGTGTGTGTGTGTGTGTGTGTGTGTTTTGTAAGCTCTGGCATCTCTGAACTTTTTGCATATTGCAAGTAATATTTCAAACAAATAATAATTTTCTTATATCCACTAATCTGATTATTTTCTATAGCAATACATGAATAATGTAGAACAGAAAATATCAGAAAATGCCACCAACAACCCCAAACCCAAAGATACTGTTTAATATTATAGAGGATCAGCAAATATTAACAACTGAGAACCTGAAACCATTTTTTTCCCTTTAAAGATTATTAATTGATTGATTGATTATCAAAATAGTTGCTGACAAATTTTGTGTCAATCTACCAATTCAGGAATTGACAAACAATCAATGCTGGGACTAACAACCCAATCAGTTAATCCCCATAATCCCCATTATTTTTTACAGTCTATTAATTGTGTGCTTTATATTTATGCTTTTTAATGCTGTCTGTCAAAAGCACTTGCTTGAAAAGTACAAATACAATTATTATTATTATTATTATTATTACACAGAACATAATATGGTGGTGTTTGAATTCTTGGTCAACTAAATCTTCTTTTGTTTATTCATTTTTGTTTCCGAGTAACTCATCATCTCAACAGACGATCTTCGACTAGGCCCTCGCCGCTCGCCGCCGCTCCGCCGCCGCTCCCCGCCGCTCCGCCGCCGCTCCCCGCCGCTGCCTCCAGTTTGTCGCCCCGCTCGCTCCCGGTTGGCGCGTCACGGCGTTGCTGTGGAGACCCGTTACCGCCGCGGGGTGACGAGAGGCGCCGTGTTTACCTGTAAACCGCGACAGGGAGGCAGCCAGGGAGCCGCCATCCGTCACTTAATACACGGGGAGGGAAAGGAAAGGCCAATCAACAGGTGTTTTTGTCCCACAGGAACGGACGGTGGCCGGGTGAGACTCTGAAATTTACATAGACTATAATTATAAGAGGACATCGCCTGTAGCCTATCAGGCGCTTATTAGCATTATGTGCTCACCACACACACACACACACAGAGAGAGAGAGAGAGAGAGAGAGAGAGAGAGCTCTTTTCTCCCACACTCCTTTCTTCCTCTCTAATGAAGGGCCCTTCAGCACTTACATCAGCTCTGAGGAGGCAGCAGAGAGAGAGGGAGTTGAAAGAAAGGAGCAGTAATTACTCAAGAGTCTGAACTGGAGAGCAGGGAGCGGGCTGAGCTGAAGAGCGGATGGAGGGAAATGAAGTGGAGAGAACAAGTGTGTGTGGACTGAAGGTTGTTTTATTTATTTATTTTCCCTCTTCCTTTCCACCCAATCAGTCATCCCACTGTTTTTCGCCCCTCTGCTCATTTGCTGTGAGTGGCAGCGTGTGGGACGTGAAGGCCAGCAGGTGGGTGAAGTATTTTAATGCGATTGTCACAGTGTCACAATCACACACACAGAGGCACAATAACGTCAACAAGCACAACATCTCATCAACCCAGAGAGAGAGAGAGAGAGAGAGAGCTGGTTTCTGCTGTCCCTTCGCCTGTCCTGTTCCTCCTCCTCCTCCTCCTCCTCACATTGCCCCCATACATTACACTCCTACTCCTCTTCTACTCCTCTGCTCTGCATGGGCCCTTCATCCTCCTCAGTTTTGTAACTTCATCACCTACTTTCTTTCCTCTCCTCCTCAAGTCCGGCTTACCTCGCCTACCTAACTTCCTCCCTCTCCTCTACCTGAGCTCTCCTCCTCCATATGATGCTTCACCACAAGACTTCACGATGTCCCTCTCTTCCTACAGGCATGTAGGTGTGTGTGTGTGTGTGTGTGTGCATTAAGGGGATTGTTGACATTTTGGGAAATCTGTCTGTTCAATTCAAGGCCACAGCCAGCAGCAGGTTAGCTTAGCTTAGCTTAAAGACTGGAAGCGGGTGGAAACAGCTAGCCTCGCTCTGTCCACAGGACCACAGCACCTCTAAAGCACACTAATTAAAATATAATATCTCATATTCATCCTGACTCTGTGCTTGTCCTGGTAGGCAGATATTTTGCTGTCTTTGGCTACTTTTAAATGTATTTAATAAGAGTATTTCCTAAGTGTTCCTTGAGTTGTTTTATGATTTGGTAAATAAAAGATCTGAAGGTTGTGTAAGGTCTAAAGTGACGTCTAGATTAGAGAGAGACTAGTTTTCTCGTCACGGAAACACTCAGAAATTGATAAAAATGACCAAATATCCTGGAAATAATCTAAGTTGTTCTGGCAATATTTACTCAAATCTAAGCCTCATATTTTGATTAAAACTCGACTGTTGATAGGATAACCTGCGCGTATGACACTTCCGAGCCGGTTTACCAGACGTGGAAGGAACCTGCAGCAAAAGTTTGGCAGTCAGGTCTATTTTTTTCCGTAGCTGCGAGCACAATTCTCACCAAAGCCCAGTGGAAAAATGTCTTAATTGTACGTGCAACAAACACATTTTTCATTCTTCTTTTAATTGGCTTGTAGGTGAGAAGATTCATTTTATGTAAAATATAATAAATTCTGCTTGATTTGAACTGTTACTTATGGGCTGCGGCCAAATTAATGTTACTATTAGAGGAAAAACTGTAGTAAAATGTAGTGAATTCACTAGAGAGTAAAACCAACCGTGCATCATTAAAAGGAGAAATAAAACTTGAGTTAAACGTATCAATACCAAGCCTACCGGTAAAGTATATGACTGGAAAATTCCTGTATTTGTGTTGCCAACAGTCCAAAACTGAAATATATTCAGTTTTCCGTCATAGCTGACTAAGAACAAGCAAATATTCACATGAGAAGACGTTTTTCTTGAATTAATTACGCCTTTTTGACACGTCACAGTAGGAAAAGCAAGGATGTAAATAACACAATGCATGGTGGCTGAATTCCATTTAGCTGCTTCAGTTTCAGGGTCCTAGGATTGTGCATGGTGGCTCACTGTCAAGGGACACTTTTGCTTCTCCTGCTACGACAACTCAAAAGGCCGGCTGCCGTGAAAAAGACTAATTGTCAGCTCTGTGTCGCTTTCCCTCTCTCTGCTCGGCTCTGCGGCTGACCTTTTGCTCCACCTGAGGACACGTCAAGACAAACACCTTGAGGAAGGGGACGCGCGAACGGTCCTGTTGTGCCTGATCTGCTCAGCGTGACGACATCAGCGAGAACAATGTGTTTGTGAGATTAAAAGACGGATGTTTACAGATGTCCTCAAACATATTCATGTCTCACGCACTCAAAATAGGAACACACATTCAACACAAAACTAAACTAAAGACGAGAAACCAACCAGTTTACTGGGGGGAAAATATTCTAGTGAATAATAATATAATGCAAATTAAACAGTTTCTCTTTTTGTTAGTTAGATGTTGGTGTTCAGCAACCGCAGATACGTGGAGCTGTGTAGGTGGGGAGATGCCTCTGTAAAAAACTAGAACCAAGTACATCTTCCTACCAAACCTCCTTTAAAAAAATTGCAGTTTTTAACCAAATAAAAGTGTTTTTTTTTTAATGTGCCGGTGAACACTTTGAATCAGAATGAGATGTACATCCTCCTCTTTACACGCTGATCAGACAAACTTAATGTAATGCATTAAAGTGATGGAATAAAGTCATCAGAAAGCTTCACTAAAACTAAAACAAACTTAATAGGTATCATTGGATTATTGGCCTATAATTATTGGTTATCTACATTAGTGCATTCAAGAATGGTTAAACTTGAAAGTGTCATTTACCTTAATATACATTAATATAGGCTATATAATTATAATGCGTATTCACCTTCGTAGCAAACAAAAGGGGAGAAATGTGTGTAATGACTGTCTTTATATATTATATATTTAATTTAATTTAAGCATTTGTTGGATGTTTTCTGACTCAGTGCTTAATGATATGGCTTCTGTATTCGATATTGGTCGTTGTGCTTAAAACAATACAGTTTAATTCCAACATAAAACAGCAAAACACAGATTTTTTGGAAAAATGTCCCCTTGAATACAAAGCCTTATGTCTCACTGTGTGTGGCTTCAGCCACTAAAGTGTGATGAGTCTGGTTGAAATATTGTGCTAAATAACTTTGAATTTCTATTTTTGAAGCCAATTTCTTCACTCACACCAGCTTTAAGTGTGTCTGCGCTGGCCTGACACTGTGTCGAGGAGCCGGTGGTGAAACGTTGTGTTGGAAATAATAGTCTGTTGATGAAACAGGAGGGACGCAGAGCGACTGTCTGCGGTGACAACGGTCGGGTTGAGGGGGTTGCAGACACCGGCTGCATGTGAAAGCAACGGCAACAAAGGCTCAGCAGGAGATGTGACGGCTGCATACGTGTGAATGTGTGGGGTGATTGGGACTAATTGATCACCAGACTCA